GGAGAATCCAGCTCAGAGCCACCTCCACTGGGCCAGGGCCCTCCTGCTCTAGTGTCACTTGCTCATCTTTCAAGTGGGCTCTGTCCTCTGGGGTCTTTCCCATCCCATCCATCCCACAGACCAGGGATCAGCAAACTATAGCCATGGGCCCAATCTGAGCCACTCTTACAAGGTCCCGAAACTAAGGATCATTTTTACATTTTTAAATGTCAAACAAATGAAAAGAAAACTAATATTTCACAGCATGTGAAAACTGTACCAAATTTAAGTTCACAGCCCCTAAATAAAGTTTTATTGGAAAACCACCCTGTGTGCCCATCCATATATGTATTGCCCATGGCCACTCTGAGCTACAATAAAAGTCAAGGAGCTGTGATGGAACCTTAGGGCCACAAAGCCTAAGGTATTTATTGTTTTGTTTTTTTTTTTTGGTTTTTCTCCGGTACCGGTAACCGAACTCACGACCTTGCGCTTGCCAGGCAGGCGCTTTTGCCACTGAGCTAAATCCCCAGCCCCAGCCTAAGGTATTTATTATTTGGCGCTTTAGAGAAACAATTTGCCAGCCCCTGCTGGAGACTGTCCTCAGCCTAACCTTTAATCATCTTTTTTATTGTACTCATTCTGAAACCCTGGAAGACTTCTATTTCCTCCCTCAAAGGAATGAAACTTAGCTGGTCTGACTCCCTGTACTTAGACCCCAGGAGTTAGTGATTTACTTCATTTCCTATGGTGTACTATCAGAAACCCCTCCTTCTGAGCAAGTGGGGCTCTAAGCTGTGCTATGGATGCATAATAAAACCTTTACCCAGTTTACTGTTCTGGTCTAGCAAGCTCTCCCCTTCTGCTGCAATCTAAATCTTCCATCCCTCATTCCACTTCAAATCCCCATGTCCCCAATCCACAAGGCTTCCCTATCTGCTTTGCCAAATTATTCTCCAGTGTATTCTATGGAACAAAGATTCTGAAGGCAATCCTTGGAAAAGGAAAACACTGCAGGTTACCTGTCTCAGAGGCACAATTCACATATATGGCCTATTAAAGGCTCTGAGAAGTCCTGCAGTACATAAAGCCACTGCTTCCCTTCTGCTGCGCTCAACTCTTCCCAAATTCATTAACCAGAGAATTTGTTTTGTCCATAGAATACTTTTTTACTACCAGCATCCAGGACAATGCCTGAACTTGGCATGCACTACAAAAACATGAAAATTCCAGTGCCCCACAGAATTAGGGTTCTACAGAACATGCTTTAGAAATGTCACTCAAATTCCTCCTTCCCTCCCTCTACTTTGAGCTGACCCCTTCCACATCATCTATTTCCACATCACGTCATGCTAAGCATCCTCCTCCTCATGGGTGTCATTTACTTAGCATCTGCATGCACTGTGTCCAGCTTAGTGCCAGGTCCTTAAAAGTGTCATCTTTTATAATCCTCACAACCATTCCCCAAGGCAGATGATATCATTCAATGATTGCCGTTTTGCCCAAAAAATTAAATTACGGATCAATGTTTAAATTACTAGCCCAAGATTTTTATTTTTAAAAAGTGAAAAAGAGCCAAGCACGGTTGCATGCACCTGTGATCCCAGCATTCAGGAGGCAGAGGCAGGAGGATTGCTATAAGTTCAAGGCCAGCCTAGGCTACACAGTGAGTTCAAGGCCAACCTGAACTACCTAGTGAAACTCTGTCTCAACAAACTAAAAAATAAAAAGCAAAAATATCTAGAACTCAAAACTGCATTGTCTAATTCCAAAGCTCATGAATTTTCTTTCCCACCAAGACCATCCTATGGCCAATGCCTCTAGCCGTCCACCCAGTATTCGCCCACACCACTTTCAAGCTAGCAGAGCCTTGATTATTACAGTGTGGCAATAGATCATCCCGGGCAATAGACCACGATGGTGTTCCCACCTCCCATTCCCTGCCTCCCTTGCAGCTAGGACTAGCCCTTTGACCCTGTTCAGGCCAAGAACACATAATTAAACATCATTAGTGGACTGGGGAGGAGGAGGTACCCTGGGGAAATCCTGGTTTTCTGAAACCAAAAATGTGACCCTTCCTTCCCTTCATACTCCCTGGTTCCCTCTCTTTTCTACAAATGTGATACCTCAACTTGCAGAAGCCATCTTATAACCATAGGGAAAGGCCATGAGAATTCCCATAGACATCAGCCCCAGTATTATTGTTCTACTGAGTCAACCCAAGCAGTCCAGTACCTCCAGACCTCTAATCATATGACAAAAACAAGCACTGCTTGCTTCCCATCATTAGTGGGTTTTTCATTTCAGGCAGCTGAACACATTCTTATTGGAACTATACACTATGTCCTATATTACATACTATTTAGACTTTATCATTATTTTAGAGAGGTAGTCTAACCCTTGCCTCTCATCCATGAATTATGCTTCTTGAAAGTGAAGTTGTACATTTCCATTACTGCAGAACCTGGTGGCACAGGACTGTAATTCCAGCACTTGGAAGGCTGAAGCAGGAGGATTGCTGTGAGACTGAGGCCAGCCTGGGCTACACAGTGACTCCAAGAATATCCTGAACTGCACAATGAGACCCTGTCTCAAAAAACTTTTAAAAAAGGAGTAGACATATATTACTAGACAATGCTTATTATCAAGGTTTTGAGGGATGATCTATTCAATTACTAATTTGACTGTTTATAAGCAGGGAGTTTTCACTACTAAAGAGTTGAAATATGATATCTATCTCCTAATAGATTCTGAAAGTATCCAAATGAAAACTTACATCAGAAAATGAGGACTGTTTATTAAATGCAGATTCCTGGACCCTCCTTCCAACACCAAACTGAGTGAGAATCACTGAGGTTAGATGCTGAGAATCTGCATTTTTAACCAGTGCTTTTGTGTGGCTTTAATATATAAAACTTGGCACCTGCTGGGGTAGAAAACTGTGGATCCCAACAGGAGGTCAGCAGGACTTGACCCCATGTCACCAGCCCTTCCTCAGCAGCCCCTTCCTGACTCTAGAGGTCTTTGAAATCTAAATTGGCATAGTTGCTCCAAGCAAGTCCCTGGGCAGTATGGATACCCATACTGCAGGTTGGCATTCTCTCTGGCATTGTGGGACCAGAGGACTACAAACAGACGCATTCCCTATAACTGCAACTCCCCACCACCACACCAATGCCTCCATCCCCTACTTTAAAAGGAAAACCACTCTGCAGAGAGGAAACAACAGAACTATGCCCACTGCAACAATCACCACTGTCCTTGGAATTATTAGAGGATGGAATGTGTCTGAAAAAAGAAAAACTCTGGAGAAACTTACAAGGTAATACACAAACAAGTCTTGGTGATTCCTGACCCTAAGGCACAGAGGAGACCTTGCATGGTCTCGGGCGCTCGATTACTTATGATTTACTGCATGCAGCTCTGAACAGAAGCTGCTCTCAGGCACTGTTCAGAGAGAAGCAGGGCCGGGGCCAAAACATCCCACAGTTCCTCCAGAAGCCAAGTGTTAGTGGAGACTTCTCTCTCGACTTCTGAGAAAGGCAATACCTGTACCTCCCGACACACTTCCCACTCCCTCCCAGTCCCCTTCGACATTTATCTTATTTCGTTTCCAAGGATCATGTTCCCAGATGACAGGTGCACACACCTGGTGGCACAGGGTAGCAAACATCATATTAAAATACACATGAGAGTGCACACGCACACACACACACACACACACACACACACCACTACCAAGAGGATGACCTCCGGCATGCTGACATCCAGCCAAATTGAAAACCATGGGAAAAAAACAAAAGACCAGAATGCATCAGAATGGAGAAGTGCAGGCTAGAATATGACAGCTACAACACTCAGTAAGAACCAAAGAGTTCAGGGCTTGGAAACCCACAGGCCAGAGACAGGATAAACTTCCCAGCAGGGCATATGCCCACTTCACCCAAGGGGGAACCCCTGTCCTGCTGCCTCCGCCCTAGGCAAATGCCAGCTAAGGGGAATTCTCAGCTTTAATCAAGACATGTGGACAGCTGGGCCACTTTAAGGAAAGGAAGTGAGTTGATCCTCCAGACCTTTTGAACAAGGTGGATGCCGGATTATTTCCTGGACTCCAGGCACTTTCCAAGCCTCCTGAAAGCTTCCTCTGACCAAACGGTCTTCGGAAGAAAAAATTTCTGCCATCTTCTTTGTAAGTAACTTCGCATCCACCCCCTAACCCCATCCCATCCCTCAAAATCCTGCTAGAAAGTCCCCCTTTGAGTTCAGTTGGAAAGAGTGTTACAACACGCCAAAGCCGACTCCTCCCCCCGCACCCCTTTCCGCGAAGTCCCACCGCGATCCAAGAGGAATTTCCCACGCCACCTGCGCGTGCCTATCCAGGCATGAATATTTTTTTTTCTCTTTACACATGTTAGGCCTCATTGCATCAAAATAATTGTACTGGATATGGGTAGCTCAACAGGGATTTATTTTCTCTTACACCTTGCTTCTTAACATGTATATTACTGAGGAGGGGACAGAAGAGTCCACGGAGCAAAAGGGACGCTGGGAAGGAAGCCGAGAAGAGGTCTCTATGTACAGGTAGCCCCATCCTGGGAGCAAAAACCACCTTTGACCACCTGCAGAATGCGCAAGGTCACGTGGGTTCTCTGCAGCTCCTAAACGTATTACCCAGCACACGAACCCCCGTGGCATATAAACAAATCCACAAGCGGAAAAAAGAACTCCCTCCTCCAAGAGGAAGCGAATGACAATGGTAACAGCCGCAACCGTAATAATAAATACAGAATAACAATTACTACTGCTACTACCACCACCCAGCCGAGCAAAGACAACAGCCGCACCGTAAAGGGACATCCAGTGCAGGCTCTGGAAGAGGATAAATCACAGGGCACCAATCGTGCCCACCTGGCTTACCCAACCCCCTCCCGACCCCCAACGAACACAACCAGAGGGGAAGAGGGTGGTGGGGAGCAGGGAGGGAAGGAAGGATTGCTTTTTTCCCCGTAGCCAACACCTACCTCCAGAGTCCGGATTTCTTTTTGTGTGAGGTCGTTGGAGGTAGCACATTTGGTCCTAAGCCCTTCCAGGTTGGAGATGCTCAAGTCTATCATGTTTTGGACCAACTCGCACTGCTGTAAGGCTTTTTGCAAACTCAGAGGTTGCTGCTCCTCGGTTTTCGTCATGTTTTCCTCATCCATCGCTTGTTCTGCAACCCCCCTTCCCCTCCTCCTCCTCCCAGAGAGAAAATAGAGGGGGAGGGAGTAGAGGTAGAGGGAGTCTGCCCCCCGCGCCTCTCCAACCACTGCGACTTCTCAACAATGTCTCATGAAGAAGAAACCCAACATCTCACACAGGGCTGAGGGGGTGGGGAGTGGGAGGAGGAGACAAGAGCCAAAATTTATTATTTTATTTTGGGGTATCAGGCAGTCTCCATTAGAATGTCTCTCTGTCTGTCTGTCTCTCTCTCTCGCTCTCTCTCTTTCTCTCTGAGTCTCTGGTCCCTGAAAAGGAGAGATGCCGTTTCTCAGAAGCGAACCAGGTGATGCGATGCTGTCTGCACACTTGGGGAGGAGGAGGAGGAGGAAGGAAAAAGAGGAGGAGAAGGAGAAAGAGGAGGAGGGAGAGAAGGAGGAGGAGGAGGGAAAAGAGGAGGAGGAGGAGAAGGAAAATAGCGCTCACTCTTTACACACCGGCTCCGTGAAGGACAAAATTATGTATTTTTGGCTGGCTTGCTTTTATGTCAAAAAAGCGCGAGTTTGCCCCCCTCCCCGCGGTAGTGACACGGCATGGTCCGCCGCGGGGGTGCTTAGCGCGCTCTCAAGATGCCGTCTGCAGAGCTCGCGCGGCTGCGGCGGCCACTGCGGCTGCTGCTGTCTCCTCCCCGCTCCGCCGCTGCTGCCGCTGCTGCCGGGCTCCGGGGGTGACGGCTGCCGCAATCGCTCCTGCCTCGCTCCGCACCGACATCTTGCCTGTCAATCACAG